AGAAACAGGGAAAATTGAGAGCTGATTCCAACCATGTGAATTTTTGTTTTCTTTTTTTGTTTTCCTTTTATACATTATCATCAAAGAGAATGAAACGTGGCATAAAAATTTGTTTGCTTATAAAAAAAAAACAAAACAAAAAAAGTAGCTTTTTTTCATTAAATTAAAACAATTATTATTATTTTATTACATTTTTGTCAATATATTGTAATTGTGATGATGCCAAAAAAAAAAAATCTTTTTTTTGTTTGTTAAGTTTGATCTTTAACGCTAATATAAATTTCGAATCATCACCGATACAGTTTGATGTATAATTTGTGTCTGCTGATTCGTAGCTGTCATACAGTGAAACAATTGGATATCAGCATATACAGTCAGTCAGTCAGTCAGCCTACCTGTCATTTAGTTAATCAATTAGTCAGTTAGGTATTTAGTTATTTGCAGATAGTCTAAGTATTGGTTTTTTTTTTTTTTGTACTGGACAAAACTTAATTTGGCACAAAAGTCATTATTCTGAATGCATGTTGAACTGTTTGACTGTGATTTGTGTAAATCGTTGATCTTTTTATGCTATTCGCCGTAATATATCTGGCTTATTTTAGGTAGTTCATTTTCACCGTTTAGCATCTATTCATCGATTATGTGCAAATAATACACCATGGAATTCCAGTAGGAAAAAGTGTGTGCACACAACACCCATGTAATTGAACGACTTCAACTTCCGCTTAAAGGTTGTTAGTAAATATTATTTATCATACTGTAAAGCAGTCACATCTTTTATACATTCCAGTGTACCATATAAATATCATTTTTCTTTTTTTTTTTCTTCTATTTCTCTTCCCGCATTCTTTTTCCATGTTTTCGTTTTTGTTTTCAAAGACTTTTTCATGTTCATATTTTAATTTAAAATTTATTGCAAGTGCATACACGTTCACAGATACACATAAATGCACATACATTTGTGCAGCCAAGAGATCATTGTCAGATAACAAAACGATCAGCACATCTATTAACGTTAAAAAATGGAGATTAGTTCGGTTTCTTTTCTCTTTCTTTTTTTGTTTCTTTCCTTATTTAGACTTTTCTTCTCCCTTCCTTCTTCCTCTCTCATCATCACCCTCTCCTAAACAGTAGAACTTTTTGGCTTATTCTCTCTGTCTTTTCGTCTCTTCTTCGTCTTTCCTCTCTGAATAGTATTAAAATTAAAATAATGAAATGATAAGTGTTAAAACCGGAGAGAAAATTGTACAGAGTATGAGTGTTTTGTGTACAGGTATGTATTGATAAACAAATAAAATTGCAGATAAATATGTACATAACTTTAGGCTTTGTCATTGCTGGTGGGATAAGCTACGTCATTTTCATTGCTAGAATTCCATCCTTTTGTTCCTCTTGTTGCCTGTTGTTCTCTTTTTTCCTATCAATAGAAACGTGGCAAGTAAATTACAGGATGGGTGGCAGTTGTCTATTATAATCAAGAAAAATGTTAATCGCTTCAACAGTGTTAATTTTTCGCTTTTTGCAATTCAAGTTACAATGGTATGGAAGTGGAAAAATTTAATTGGATTTTTTTAGTCGATTATGTATCTTGATTGTTATGGAGATGAGGCCGAAGAAACAGTAGAATATACCAGTAGTTTATAGTCTTATTTTTCTCGATCAAAATGCGACTTTTGCCGTTACGATACAGATTCTGCTGTCAAGTTGGTGCTTTGTGTATCCTGTGGTATTTTAGCAGCACTGCGGCTAGTATAATCAATAAAGTCACCTTGCAGGTATTTATTTACCCTTTGCAACTTATGTCAAGTCATTATTTTAGTTGTTTTTTCTTTTCTTTTTGGTTATGATAATGAAAGCAAAATGAGACCTTTTAAGCTGCTCTAGCTTTTTGCCTGCATTTTCTGAGCTCATGTAAGACTGCTGTAGTTAAGCTTGGAGTACTTTTTTTCTTAGTTCTGACTGATGTTTGCTTAATTCTGAAGCATTCGTATAGGAGTATCCGTATCCTATGACAGTTGCCTTAGTGTCATTATGCACAATACCAGTTTATGCTATACCTCTTCTTTGGGTTTGGCATATAAAAAAGCAACGTGTATCTGATTATTATATGTATCGATATGTGATTCCATTATCTGCAGCCAAAGCAATCGCTGTTGCTTCTGCATACTTTAGTCTATGGAAAGTGCCTGTTTCTTATGCTCATACAGGTGAAGAAGTTTCAAAGTTAAAATAGAAAGGGTATCGTTGGCTGTCGTGAAAAAAAATATTGATTTCTCTAAGTTTATGATTGTCAGGACTAGCTAATACCTCCACTTTTTATATTTTTATGATTTTGGAGTTTTATTGAAACTCTAGACTCTTTTTTCTTCTGTTCTTTTTGAGTTACTGTGTTTTCCTAGATACTCTTATGTTTTTTTTTTCTTTTTTTTTGCCGTTTAGAAGCTTCTAAAAACTTCGAAATTTTAAAACTTTTCGGTTTTTCTAACGCCAAGTAATTTTTTGTTAAATGCGCTTATCTGATTGTCAATTTTTATGCATCTTCTGTAATTTCTATCTAAGTAAATTCTTTATGGTTGCAAACTTTTAATTGTTCATTTTCACTTCTTTGTAGGATGTCTGGTAGAATTTCTGGTAAACTTATGTTTTCTTATAAATTTGCGATAGTTTGAAGGGAAGTCTTAGTTGGTTCGGAGGATTTTTATTTAACAAATAAACGATTTTATTGTATTACAGTGAAGGCGACTATGCCATTATTCGCAGTTTTATGCGCCAGGATAGTACTGAAGGAGAAGCAGACTTTCCGTGTTTATTTATCTTTAGCACCTGTCGTTGCCGGTGTTTTAATAGCTTCACTTACTGAATTGTCCTTCAACTTTGCTGGTTTGTTAAGTTCGCTCTGTTCGACTGCAACGTACTCATTACTTAATGTTTACGTTAAGCGGGTAAGTTACATTTTTTAAAGCTGTCTCTTTCTATTTTTTTCCTCTTATGTCTCGGTGTATTTATTGTCTTTTGTTCCTTGATAATTCTAGATTGTAGGTTCTAAAAGACACTGGAGTTCATCCAATCAGGTTCCTTATTTTAAATGCTCAGATTGCTGCAACGGTTTTCTTACCATTTTGGTTGTTTCGCGATGGGATTGCTTTGTGGAAAGTCTTTTTCCAAACAGAAGAAGTAATTAACATTTTGAGTTTGAGGGCTGTTAGTTCTCTAACATGATCAGAAAAAGAGAATAATCAATATCAGTTTTGTGTTTTGCTTCGTGTTTCTACTTTTGGTTGAACAGATCTTCTGTCGAAAAATTTTTTCCTTTTATTCTAAATCATGTGCGTAAGATAATTTTTTTTCTGCAGATGATTGGATATTTTGTTATTTAGACACTTTTATACCATGAATCGTTTCAGGATTTGACTATCGTTCCAGACCATTGGTTTCTGATTTATCTGGCTTTATCTGGTTTATTGTCATTTGCAAAAAATATTTGTGCCTTTGTCTTAATACATAGGCTTACAGCTCTCTCCTATGCAGTGGCTAATGCCACCACACGTATAACTGTTATAGCTGTCTCATTGGTGACTCTGCATAATCCAGTAACTTCGCTAAACATTTTTGGCATGACATTGGCTATCTTTGGTGTTTTTCTTTATAACAGAGTAAGTTCTATTCTTCTAGAATTTTATTGTTTTGATTTTATAAAAAGCGGTCTGTTCATTTCTCATTTTTGTTGATCGTGATTGTTGAGAGTCATGTTATAGCGTGTGGGTTTTATATGAATATAGTTTACGACTTTAGGCGAAACAGTCACAGACGAAAGGTCTACCTCTTTCTCAAACTGACGTTACGCTTTCTGACGCATCACTGGTTATGTTGAATGGTGCTGTGGAGGGTGATTTTCCGAGGTTACTGCATCCTTCTTCGAATGTGAAGGTTATGAGTGAGAGGGCAGAAGATAAAGATACAATTCATATGAGGGCGCAGAAAGGTTTCAAGGGAGTTTATGAACCATTAAATGGTCATGTAAAATTCATAATGTAAGGTGAGTATAAAATATCACTTATCGTTGTCTATACAATAAATGATTTATTAATCATTTCTGTAACTGTTGTAAAAAGTGTGTTTCCCCGTGATTGTTTTGTTCGTATTATCAGTTTCTTGATTTTCTTTTTTTTCTTCTGTTGTGGGTGCTTGAATTTTTTCTTTCAACTTCTTCCTGGATCCCAATTTTAAAAGTAATTGTGCTGTTACTGTAAATTTTATATGTTTTTGTCTTAAAAACTGGGGACTGTTCAATTTAGAATATTTTATTTGTTTTACTGAAATTAACAGCGGTTGCACGAGTTCTAAGCGTTTTGTTTCATATCTGTTTCACTATATCGTTATTACTTAGGTTTTTAATATTATGCTAAGTCTGTTTTGAGAGCTATCTTTTGTTACAATTAATTTTTTTATTTTTATCTAGTTTTTTAATATTTTTTATTGTACTGCTCAGAAGAAAGGTGTATATCTTTCTATTAATTGTACATTGTTGGTTACCAGCTGAACATTTTTTTTTAAACTGTGATTACAGGAATCGCTCTTCTCTTAGTTTCGTTATCTAAATATGTTAGTTAAGCACTGTGGCCTTATCTGTGTATTTGACACCTATAGACTTTAAGGAAGGTGTTTTCTTAGTTGTTTACGGGTTGGAGCTCAGAGTGATGGCCATCGTATAATCTGACTTAAAATGTGCTGTAAGCCCCCAAGTTAGCATCTTTATGCGTCTATTTTTCAATGCTTGTGTGCTATTTATTTTACCTGCTTCTTCGTTGTTTTCAAATTTGCTTTTGTTACTTACATTTTTGGGTCTAGTAACTGCGGTATATTTGTTGACCTGATTTAACCGTGCTAAACTGTGATCTATGAAAGAAAGTAAATTAGAGAATTGTTTTTGTGCTTCCGACCTTTTCAACGTCATGGATTATTTATTTGTTGTTCTTATACAAAGCTTCAAAGCCTGGAATTTTACTCATAAAAGAATAAAAAGTGAAATATTAAAAGCAGATAAGAAAATTAGCTTTATCATTGTGTAAGAGCGCACTGCCATTACTGAGCAGCAAATCTTTCCTTCCGTCACTTTTTCCACGCACTTCGAAATAACGAGATGTATCAGTTTCATTTACTTCAATCGCACAAGCAGTGGTCAAGGCGGCTCATTTCTCAAGTAACTGTTTGTTGAGCTGAAGCAGTGAAGCGATTGTCTAGTAGTGACTGAAGTCTCAGAATAATCCTGGTCCATTTTTTCAGGAGCATTTTTGAAAGGATTAAAGTTTGGGGTCATGACTGTAGGAGTTGTACAACTGCTCGGTATCATAACAACATGATTTGTAAAGCTTATCCTTTGCACTAATTTTAGCTCTTTCGATGTTAATCCTAAACTTGCGTCTTTAAGTCGTAAACCTCAATACTTAGAGTGAAAATGATCTTCAAACTACAGTCTGTGATTCCATAGACTATTTTCTTTGGAAATCGGTGCAGTTCCCCGCTAAAACGAAATTTGTCCGGTATAGATCTACTTCTTGGTTTCTTTCACCAGCGATGATAAATTTCTAAAATTGTGAAACTTTTTAAAGCGCCTTATGCTCTTTCTAACTTACTCAATTTGCCTCTGTTTTAGGAATCGTAGTAGAGTACTGACTTTACTCAATGATAGCGAACTATGAATTTTGTAGGAAAACTTAAGTTAGCGTTTCTAGAATAAAAGTTCTTGAAAATGTAGTTTAAAATGCGAAACTTCTCACAACATGCCACCGTACAATGTTAGGCAAATGAAAGCTTGTCACAGTTTAAAGTACCAAAGGCAAAATGTACTTATATTTTACTCAAGAGATAGCTGCCAGATTTATAGCGGGATCTTCAAAATGCCTGATTTTTTTCTAATACTTGAAATTTGGAAAAAGTTAAAGCGAGTTGTAAAAGCTCAGCTCTGCCAAAAAGCTTCTTCTAAATCAACACTTAATATATCAGAGTTTTTTATGTTTTAAAATCAAAAAGTATGGCTTATAGTCATTAGTGAAAAAGAAATTTGACTATAGCATACTCTTAGTGGCATTCAGGAATGTTGATAATAAATAATAGCAGCTTGCAGATACTTTCTTGTGCCAGTTCAGATATTACATGACAAAGAGGCTACTCGCTATTATATACAACCGCTCTTTGGCTTTAAGGATTGAACAGTTTTCGATCCGTTGCAACTTTCTACCGTTAAAACCTCTTCTATAAAATATTTAAGTATTTTTGCATGAGATATAGGATCAGATACGTTGGAGATATCTAGGTGACTACTAAAGCTTTAGGTACCTTTTTTTTCGTTAATTTTTTTTGTAATTAATGTGGAATATTATGGAATGTTTTTTCTTTAATTGGCAAATAAAAACAGAAAAGTATTATCCTACTGAGATAAAAACTACTGTTTTCGGTGATTACACTAAATCCAGACGATGATGGTCATTAATCTAGCAACGTATGTTTTAGGCCTTAACACGCTTTAACTGAATAGTAAGCACATTCAAGCACTAATTAAAGTATTATTTTGATGTGTAAAGTTTGTCAGTTTATATGCGTTGTACCAAAGAGTCTGAAATAAGTATTGGCTTTATTTTTGCATAGAAAATTTCGTTGGTTTAAGTTACTTTTGAGTTCAGGCGACGAAAACATTGAGTTCTATTTTCCGTATAATCTTCTGTTAGGCTATTTATGCGTTCCCCATAATCTGATTAAAAATATGCTGGTGTTGGTTGAAGTTTTCAGTGGTGAGGTAACATAACACTTGTCAAAATACGATACTCAATTGTTCTTAATAATTCTACTCACGGTCGTATCAACTACGAAATACCGTTGAAAAGAAATACAAGTATACACCAAATGTTTAAATCTATTATTTTAATTAATCGTTCTTACTAATATTGACTGTGACATCGATTTTAAACTTTAAAGGATCCTTTGTGATTATAAATCGCAGCAACTGATTTCGTTGCAGTTGTTGGTATCAAGTGATTTAACGGCAACAAAAAGTGATACTGCAATCACTCAAGTACCAGTTGCTGGGATGAAAAATTGATCACCAGAATTCATGGAATACGGTGATCTGACAATAGCTATGACTAAGAGTAATCTTACTATGAAAATTTAACACCTTTAGAACCACAAAAAAGAAATCCGACAAACACATTTTATTTGCCGTAAATTTGGTACATATATTTTACACGATCTGTGCAGTTGAAAATTACTGCTTGGTTAATCGAACTTACCAATATCAACTGTCTTTTAGAAATATATTGTTGAAAACTGAATTGTATGAATTCAGAACTGTCAGCAATGACCCGAATTTTACGGTGCACTAATTGTTTGGCAAAAACTTTCAAAAATACCAAAGAAATACTCAGGACGTGGAGGGACTGATTCCGAAGCTTTGTTGATAGAACCCTCCAATGTAACAACTAGAATAGCCGTTTTCAAAGGTTGCCGCTCTTTGATCATAAAGTTATGCAGTTGGCGTAAATATGGCTCCACTTTGGTTGATGAAAAACCTTTACGTAATTTATATGCCCTCTGAAAGACAAAAGTTTCACTACAAATTCAGTTACGCATATTATTTTTTCCTTAAAAAATTTTTCTTTTAGAATAATATTTTGCTATTGTCTTTTCTCTGCTTATTTCCGCTGAATTGAAGATGTGATAAAAAAAAATGTATCAAACCTATGAAAGTTGATTTCTGCTATAGTATTCGTTATTGCGATAATACCAGAAACAAAAAAAGTGCAACGAAAACCCTAAAATTAGTGGTGCTAACTCTTGTCACTAAACAAGCATTAACTACTGACTTTGAAAAACTTCTATACAAAACAACAGAATTGACGTACAGTAATAAATGATTTCACTGTAAAACCAGTAGCCAACAATAAGAATTTCACGGAAGAAATTGATAGGTATCCTGAAATTGATATAGGTAAATCTAAACTCACCATTGCCTACTTAAGAAGCCTTTGGGAACGGTGAAATTGAAAATTGTGTTAATCTTACAAAGCGAACTTCTTTAAACTTCAAAGCGACAAGTGGCAGTTCTTAGTGAACACAAGAATTAAATTAGTTCTCCTTTTTTTACTGAAGACCGCTACACATACGGCAGACAGATACTAGTAATCTCACTCTTGGGCATTCTTCAATAAGGACCCCAGACTCAACCAAACTGTCGTTGTTGTTTCCGACACGTAAGAAAAAAATTATTTCGAATGCTGAGCCACACTGTTCATCTACAGTGGCGTCTACTATTCTGCAGTTCCTGCAAGAGACAGAAGGCACCAAAAACTGACTTTCAAAGGTTATACCATAAACAGAGCACTATAGCACTATAAATAATTCGTTCATTCACTTCAATAATTTTTAAAAAATGGAGGCTATTTTTTAAGTATAGTCGCCAAATTTATCAACTGAAACTTTGGTAAAGGTCTGCAACGCTGAATGTAGAACTCCAAACAAATGTAAGTGAAGCTTTTTTAGAAGTCAGAAAGAGTATCTAAAGTGTATAATCCACAGCTGTAAAAAAAGCAAGAAAGAAGCTGACAAATTTTGAAACCCTCAGAATGATTCACTAGAGGATTGCTACTGGAGCTCAGATTGTCATTTTCACTCTTTCTGCTTAAGAATCCAAGTTTTTCCACGTCAACATTTTTTGCAGATTTCTCCTCCAGTAACTATAACGTTTTGTTTACTTTTTAAGCATTGACAAGGAACTTTAACACTTAGTAATACAAATTTTCTAAACCCTGTATTGTACGTACAATCAGCAAAATTGAAATGCTTGTGAGGTCTAAGAGAAGAAACAATTGGTGGAGCAGAAATGAAGGGGCAGATTATTTAACGCTGTTCTTTTCACCAGAAAAAACGTTGCGAGAAACCGACTGTCTCAGGAAAAAATGTTTAGAAGAAACATCGTATATTCAGCAGATGTATGTTACAAACCGCAACAAACCTCGCCATGATTTTCGCAATCAAGGTTA